TCTGTTTTTACTGCTTAACCACGGTGTCGTGGAGGACAATACAGCCAATCCCTGCCTCTGCTCACATGGACTGTTGACAAAGAGAAAAATACAAATACAAAAAAAAAAAAAAAAAAAAAAAAAAAAAACACACTAATGGACAAGAGTCACTCAGATAAATCCTCTGTGTAGCAGATCCTCTTCTCCCTCTTTCCCTCCCCTTTTTCAATTTACTGAGTGGTACTGTTGTTCTTGATACATAAAGGGGAATGCAACTGAATTTTTGTATTCAAATGAAGAGTTCTTCACAAAAACGCCATGTATCGGTTGAGAAAAACAAATACCTAAAGTTCATCACTGAGTCTGCAGTTGTGGACGGTCAATCAAGAGTGCTAAACTGAGTACTTAAATTACATACTACCCTTTAAATAGTTCTATAATTTATTTCTTATTTTGTGTTTTCAGGGTAGGATAAAGTGTCATTCAGTTTTTTTCAGATTGGGGATACCTGTTTGGAGTATAATAATTTAAATGTTATATTTGCTTTCTTTTTGACATTGATTGCCACCCAGGCCATCATTTCCGCTTGTGAGCTTTCACTAAATCAACGAGAGATCGGTTTATCGCTCAGTGTGAATCTGTGATGTCATATTGATACACGGCATATGTGAGAATTAGTTTAAAGGCCGACAAATTAACCAAAAGCTGGTTGACGTGGAGACCGTGTACACCTAAAGAGAAAAAGTAAGGTTACTTGGCACATTTTGAATATGGCCAGACTCTTTAGCAAAAGTAACCAACTGTGATTGGTTCTTGTCAGTTTTCTTAACATTTTTCAGGTGTGAGGTCAAACCCAGCGGTCTATTTTCATTATTTTTTTCTGTAGCATTGACATCACAGATTCAGACTTTCTCTCTCCTCTGGTGTCTAATGATACCTCAGCTGATTTTGGCTGCAGAAATAACATGTGAATTCTTAAATTGAGTGGTTTTCCCTTTCTTCATTCGTTTAGTCTTTGTTTGTCATTGTTTCCGACTCCTGCTCTTAATCAGCCTATACAGTCTAACTGCTTGGACTTTGTGCTGTGCATATTGTTCAGTTACACACATCTCTTCCTTCTTCTCCAAAAAGGGGTATTCTACCAAAATCAACGTTTTCTTCGTGAAGTTCCAGAAGCCGACATTTTGTTTCTTCATATTTTAATTTTGGTTTGTTTGTTTATTTGGACATTTAGCACACGTTGTGGGTGCATTCAAATTAGAAATTGTTTTAATACAGGTTCAGGAGCTCCATAAAATGTACTTTGCAACGTTATTGGAAGTGCAATTTGATAACATTGGACTGTACATTGCGTTGTTTTAATTTGGAGAACTCAAACGTGAAGCGGTAGATTTCCTTGAACGTCAGGTGAAATCCGAAAGCGTCTTCTTTTGCGGAATAACTTCATAAGAGTTGATTCGGGTTGAAAGCCCTTAGAATACCACTTAACTATGCTAATCCTCATGCACAAGTTATTGTTTCTTCTGTCCCTCACTTCTCCCCACCCCTCCCATCTTCTCCAATGAGAACACAGCGAAAGATAAGGGGAGTTTGGAGAAATGATACGGCTGGTTCTTATTTTGATATTTTGGAAAACTTGTTCCTTTTTTTTTTTTTTTTTTTGAGTGCTAATGAGAAACGGAAAAAATGGAATATCTTTCTGTACCTTTTAAAGAAAAAAATTATTTAACCTTATATCAGTTTGAGTTACTTACACCCTAGCATAGAGTGGCATATTTAGTTAAATGTATAAAAAAAAAAAGCAAGAACATAATTCTGTCCTATTTTCTCCTTTAATTTTATCGTGTTCCATTTTCTGCCGAGGAAAATAAACTGGATTAGAGGATGTGCTGTGTGTTTGTGTGTGTTTATTGCTAAATCAGCATTTGTTTTGTTTTTATTGTATAAAAAAAACATGGACAGACTGCCAGAATGCATCTGAGATTCAGTTTTATTTCCAGTGATTTTTGTTAATGTTTTATATTAAAACATGTTGTGTGTGCTATGGAATGGAATTTTTCTGCTTTCCCGGTGCAATCGTCAGGATCAGTCGGCCAATTCCTATAAAAGTTTGATACTGGTGACTGATTAAAACATGAACTCAGAATGAGATGTCACACTTTAGGACTGAGACAGACATTGTTCATTAATTTTCTTGATTTGTCTTTTGTGGAACTATTTTGATTACAAACACAACCTGTCGATGAGATGTCTAGTTTTGAATCCAAAGCTTTCAATACTCCTTTCATTTAAATACACAACTATAGGGTGAGGGTGTGGATATGTGTTAGTTTCTGTTTCTGTAGTTTCTAACAAATTAGTGTAACCATTGCATTAATTGTGCGATCATTACAGACTCAGTTATGGCCTTTGTGAGGAGTCTCTCTGCTGTGTTTGGTAATAGGGTCTGCAGGTGAGGACTGTGGGACACATCGAAAAGCTCTAGAACAGGCAAGCAAAGTGCACTTTGAGTTGATTGGTTAATTGTAGCTTTAAAGGTCAAGACTGCACAACACTGAAGTAAACATGGTGAGAATACTGGTCAGAAAGTGTTTGCATCCTCTGGTAGAAGCAGTGTTGAAACATTGTTTTGTGTAGAAGTGCAGAAATAGGAATAAAATCTAATTAAATGTCCCCTATTGTGCACCTTTTCAGAAGAATGAGAATTATGTTTCAGCTCTAAATATCGAAATGATGGTTAATTTTACGATTGCTGTTCTAAAGGTGTTGTTTCTGTAGCTTTAAATGAGCTGCTGCTGCTGCTGTCCACGCCTCCTTCAGGAAGAAGACTGCCTGCGTTAGACATTTACATACATGTAAATCCTACATTTTAACTTGTGTATTGTGAGTTTGTCAGACAAAGTTGTGGCTATAAAATGACGTCCTAACGTGCTGCGTTTCAGTCACAGTGTCGTCCTAGTTCAGTTGTATGACAACAGAAGTGTATGTAAATGTGAACAGCTTTAATGGTAATTCAGCAGTATTAAAACACACTATGTATGAGCACAGAGAGAAGGAGAGAAACAACCAGCAGCTGACATAGGAGGGTGACATAAAACACAGTAACTCACAACAAATTTTCATACTGATGTGGTGACTTTGCCATTAAAAAAATAAGAGTAATCCACTGGATCTTCAGTTCCTCAGATGCTGGGTGTGCACACTGCTTGTGTGTTCACTCTTGCAGCCAACAGCATGGCATTTTGAAAGCTTGTAAGAGTTAGCAGAAGCAGCTCCAGAAAGTAAACGAACCCGGTGGACTCTCATTCTGAATGTCTCACCTGGAAGCAGTCAGGGGGAAGGATTATTTAGACCAGTTTTTATCTTAACAACTATTTGTTATCTAGTTTCAGTGTCAAAGGTGGATCAAACTCTTGCTGGCTTGCAAAGGTTGGAAGGCCATCTAGTTAGGGGAGGGTTAGAAGAGTTGCGGTAGCGTCTTTATATATTTACAGCTTTTATTTCACACTTCCAGGGTTTTAAAACATACGCAGCACAATAAAAATGAATTTTTACCAAATGGGACCCTTAAGTGTCTAAAGTAACAGTACTCATAAGGCAGCTGAGTGACCCCGGCCATGCTATTGTCATATTCTGGATTAATAAATTATTTTTCTAATAACATGTAAGCTCATTTCAGTGTCGAGTAGGGGTTAGCACTCATTTGAACTTCTTTTTATTTAGCTTGTGTAATTATTTATGTATTTTTAAACATTTTAATCCTAAAATTTGCACGCAATACATTCTTATTACATCTGGAATATAGTTAACAGAAGTGTAAAGTAGCGAAGAACTACATTTAAGTTGATTTCTGCCGCTGGTTTGCTAAAAGCGTGGGAAGTTTATCATCCACGGCTCCATGGCAACGGAGCTGTCCCTCTCCTCATTGGTTGATTTGGAGACGAGAGACGGGGCCAAGGCTCTGAACGGTTAGCTAATTGCTTGCTTAATTAGCTAGCTACACCTGACAGGGTGGAAGCGTTCTGGAAGAATTTGATGTTGTTAGTGGGACTCTTTTTTTGTTCCCTTTTACTGCACATCGGTGGGCACTCTATGCGCTAAAACAACAGTAAGCTCATGAAGCAGAGCTGGAAAAAATTCCTCTTTTTAAGTTCGTAGTGAGTTAGTGAACTAAACGAGTTGCTAATGTTTTCCACCTGCCAAACTTTTATTTTCTCTCCAACAACAAGCGCTGTTATGGCTGTTTCTTTGCTTGGTAAATTGATCAATTTCACAAGGTTGTAGTCTGCCTGCCAGCATACAAAACATAATTTACACGCGTTAAAGTGCCAACCCTTCATTCTTCAGCAAAATCTGAACTGAAGGCAGGTTGCTCTCAGTGGTATCTAACAGCTAGCGTTAGCATTTCATCTTGAAGCACCTCAAAGGAAGGCAAGTTGAACAAAGCAACTTTTTTCTTTTTCTTTTGTCAAATTGGAAGGCAAAACAACAAGGGCTTTTGTAAGAAATTAAACACAAGGCAGTATAATAGACACATGCATAGAGAGGAGAAACACAGCTCAGATTAGTCAGCCGCAAAAATGTTTTTATGCACTTCAGTGGAGACTTATTAACTCCACCACAGTCTCCATTGTTGAGCAGAATGAAATCATTTGACAGATTAATTTGTCATTTTAATTAAGGTGCATTCACATTTTGTTTTTATTTAGATACCCTTTTATCACTGGAACGGTTCAGCCGCCTCAGTGTTCTGCTGGATGCTTTGCTGTTTTCTTCTGTGTCCATGAACACAGGAGATCAGAACATCAAACACCCAGAGAGGCATGAATGATCAGATTGGAGGAGGAAGCTGCTGACAGATCATTAGGCAAAGGAATATATGTCCAGAGCATTTGAAGTTACAGAAAAAAAAAATATGAACACTAAACAGCTGCACGATTGAGGTGTTGAATAGTACAACAATGGTAGCATACAGACAAAATAATGTAGAACAAATAGGGAATCACACTGATTTGGTTACAGTCTGATCCAAATGATGTTCTCATCTACAGTCCACATGTAACTATTGTCTGTGTGAGAGCTCATGTAGCTCCTCAAGGTCTGATAATTAAAGTAACGTTCTTGCCTTAAGTTCCAATTTCCTTCCTGATAACGATTCCTATTGTTGCATTCAATGCTCCGCTGACAGATGAGGAAGTTTCATGCTGTCCCAACTTGAAAAGGACTGTTAAACAATGCAGCATTACACAGTATGAGCCACAGGTGGTCACCCCCACTGCTAACCTTGTAGTCACATGATTTAAAACACATCAGTGAGCTCAAAAATTGTACATTTTCAACAAAAGTATAGAATGGGATTTTATCAAGCCACTTGGAAATTAAATGCTAGTAGTAATAAAGAAAAAAAAAAATAGTGAACACAGTTCAAACATCGATTTGCAGCCCTTTTGTACCAAGTCAGTGAGAGCTTCCTGAAATCTCTAACTTGGAATAACAACCGGCAGGCTGACCTGAACTGATTTTTCTGCATCCGCCACCCACATTATAAATTTTAGAATTTGACTGCAGCATTAACATTTAAAGTTGTCGAGACACTCAAGTCATTCAGCATTTATCAGAACTTGCGCTGGATGTTTTGCATTAATTAAAAATATGTGTTTAGCTGGAGTGCAAGTTGAGAGGATTTGGCTCGTGTTTGACTTTGTCTCTGCACTAAAAACAATGCATCTTGACTGAAGCTTTTACCGTAGTGAAACTAGACTCTGTGTTTTAGGTAGTGAAGTAACAGCACTTCTCTTTGACTTGATGTTGAGCATGTACACATGTTATCATACTTTACACCCTGAAATAATGAACAGAGCTCAGTTTGGATTTGGGAAGTTTAGGAAGCCTATTAGTTGAACTTTTGTATGTCTTCTGTGACAGGTTTATTTCTGTTTTAGTCTAAAAAGTCCCCGATATGGACATGGCTGGTTTACAATTTGTTGCTGTGTATAAGACGGAGGTTATCCCAGTGCTGTACACTAGAAGCAGACAAAGTATAATACTCTGAATGAACACTAGATGGTGCACCAAGATTGTAAAGATGTGGTTTCTCTTCGGGTTAATGACTGACATGAGAGGGATCATTTTTATTTTTGGTCCCACATGTTTTATTAATAATTCTGAGATGGCACTTTGTGTGTCTGCTAATTTATTGAAATAAAACGTGGGATCGCTGACAGTTTTCCTCTTGTCAACTTCTCTGTTCATGTGACTGCAACAGAGACAAAATCTTTCCTCTTCTCTCCTCCTCTTCCAATCTCACCCCTCTTATTTTAGTTTTACTCACATCCTCTCTCCATTTTTTTCTTTCCTAGTGTGTTAGGGTTTCCATGCTTTACCTCCTTACTGTCTTTCTTTTTCTGTCTCTTCTCCTCACTTCTTCTCTTCATCATCCTTCTTTCCCTATAGGCACAGTTTTTGCTTCTCTTTTTAGGAACTGTACACACTAAGAATTGACTGAGTTGAACATGGACCCAATATAGCCCTTATTTACGATTACATTTTTTCCGTCTCAGAGCCAAAGACGACACTTGATTGGACATTTGTTGTGTTTTTGTGAAAATGTGAAGCTTACATTGATAATCATCGAGTGACAGTGAGGAACTCTCCTGGAAAGTTCTGCTGTGCTATAAACTGTTGTACCCGATTATGCTCTGCTTTAGGATGTGCAGGGTTATGTTTGTCTGATTAAGCCATATTTTCGGCTGTAACTCACTTTTTTTTTTTTTTTTCGTTAACTGCACATTTTTTCTTTAATTTTTGTCAAAAAATGTCTGATGTTGGTAAGATTCAAAATCAGGTGATGTGGTTTAGTCTGACTAATAGCACAATATCCAAATTTATACAACAACAACAAAAAGAGTTAGGCCAAGTAAACAAATGATTGTAAATTGATGTACATTAGAAAAGTTTGGCTGAGTCAGTTATGGGCATGTTTCTTTAAAATGATGAATTGATAGTCTGAACTATTGATTTAATGTCTATTCTGTTATATTGTGTTCTATGTGCTTTTTTGCTATTGATATCAGCCTAAAAATGTTGTCAAAGCATCAGGGATGGTATTATTTTAAAACAAAAATGAAAGAAAACCAACTATTCATTAAGTGGAAATAAAGAAACTGAATGAGATGATAGAAAGGAGAAGACAATGGCTAAAGAGAAGGAAACTATTTGTTGTTGTGTGTGTATTCTATTCTATTCTATTCTATTCTAATCTGTTTTGCTCTGCTCTGTTCCATTCCACTTTGGTGGAGTAGTTGTGGGTGTCGGCAGGTGGAGCTCCACGCTCTGCCATACAAACCTTCAGGAGGGTCCAGGACTCCCTCAGAGAGACGCACCGATTCACACACACACACACACACACACACACACACACACACGCGGCCACGCACGCGCACACGCACGCGCGCACGGCTGTCAGGCGTGTCAGAGAAGCGCTCGAGCTCCCTGTGAGTTGAAGGGAGCAGAGTGGAGGGGGAGCGCGCACGCCGTGCATAGCCGGTGTTTGTCAGTGAGCGGGACCGGGCGCACTTGTGTTGTGTTAGTTAGTGGAGGTCGGCTGTGTCTGTGCGCTTGTTTCATTTGTTGTTTTTTTTCTCGCTTGTGTAAAATGGGATTCTGACAGCAGCGGGGGCTGCGGGCGCCGCCGGCTCCTCCTGACCGGAAAATGAAGCGTCTCTGTCGGAGGCTGGCGGTGGCCGTGGCGGTGCTGGTGTGGCTGGGAGCGCTGGTTTACCTGCTGGTGTTGAGCCGGAGGAAGCTGCCGGAGCTCGGTACCGGAGCGGGAGCAGGAGTAGCGGGAGGCGGAGAGACGGCGTACAACCAGGTGAAGTACAGACACGAGCACGTCTCCTGCTGTGTGGGTGTGTGCGCGCTGGACACAAACTCAGAGAAATCCCTGTAGAGACTTCCAGGGTGTCCGCGGAGTTCAGAGCACTTCCACTTCGCTCCCATCATATATCCCGAGTTAATGCGCCACAGTAATGACTTTATATCGACATAGTTGCCAGTTGTTTTATGTTTACATCTCCATACACACTTGAGTCTGACTGTGATGCTTTGTCCACAGCATAAAAACCACTTTGCCTCCTACTGAACCACAAAAAAAGAGTTGAGTAAATGTGGCCTCAGTGACAGCAGCCAGAATCCTGCATTTGACATTTCATTTGAGCAAGCTGAGCAAATTGGCAGAAAAATGTACTTAATGAAGTTCAGTGATGAACAAGCTAATGTGTAATTGTTGTAATTAGCACAGGTGCAACTAATTGGCACTAATGCAGTTTAAATGATTGCAGACGTTCTCATTTCATGACACTATTTTTATGTTTTCAAGGCAAATTCTTCATCTGCACAGTAATTTTGGACATCCAGGGAAGTAAAAAAGCACATAATGTCTGAAATTGATCCTAGTTAATTAATTTCACATAGTTAAACACCAACTGTAACCAAATATCACACAAAAAAGAGAATTTCTCCTTATTTTTTCATCACTTAGCTCAAGGAGTAGTCTTAATTCAGCTATGTTGTGAGTTTAAAGTTTTGTTTTTTGTACTTTTATCCTTACTATAGTGACCATTTACTGTCTGTGCTAACATAACTTTAATCTCACAGTGTTCCTGTGGCTCTATAGAACACTCAAGTTGTCATTTGTGATTTCCATTCTTACACTGCTTCATTAATATACCCCAACATCCACTTTCGGGGCTCTTATCGTTGTTTTAAATTCATTATGTGATTGTGCTGGCTCCTTTAAAGATAATTAGGTTCATTTTCGACCTGGTTTGATGTCCGTGCCCTGTGTGCACCGCAGGATGCCTGTTATGCAAAGTACCCGCAGCATGTTCACTGGTGGGATAAATGTATTGATCGCGCCTCTCTTACCTTGTTATATTGAGCTACGAGCACACACGCAATGTAGAAATCCTGTAACAGCTTAAATGTTTAAGAAATTTCCATAGGAATAGTGTGAGACCAGAGTGAAGTCGTGTAAATCCTATTAATTTGTAGGAATTTTAGATGAATATAGGAAGTCAGTCTTTGCAGATACAGACATTAATCCGTGTAGGAAAGTTGTTATATCACACTAGAATATTGTATTAGACTGTTTGTTTAGACTGTGTGAGATTATAAGCAGTACTGTCAAAGTGAAGTACACTCAGCGGTGTGTTCTCTGTGTGTAATGGAAGTACTTGTACTCAAAGCAGGTTGTTTTTGAGGTACTCTGCACTATAGGCACATACACCCGCTTTAATGTACTTTAATGGCATGGATTCAATGAATAGTTCCGAGGCACAGAGACAAAAGATGTTTAGATGGAAATACTGCTGTATGGCTGTATGTGCGTGCATTCCTGTGCGAGGGTGCGTTCAGCTCCTCCACCACACGCCGAGAATCAGCAGCCTGTGTCAAAGTGACAAGTGTTTATGTAGAGACAACAAAAATACATAAATGCTGCAAAGAGCTGAATATAAAATCTGAGAGCTCTCTTATCAGCTCTCTGTGTACCTTGCCGTTTCCTAAAAGATATGTTCTGTTTGTATTGTGATTCACACATACATTATTTGTTTCTGATCACCAGCACGCTGTGACCTCTGACCTCTCTGCGGCCCTTGCTAATGATTGCTTGTAAAGCAGATGATCTAAGTAATGAAGTTTAGTCTGCTGTTGTTGTCCCTGTAAGTCGTCTCTGATATGAACATCAGTTATGTGGCTGAAATGTAAATGCACACCAGGCACTGAAAGAAAGCTTTCAGAGAGGTCTGAGTACACAGCATAAACACATTTCCGTACAACCACCTGCAGTGTGTGTGTCTATTTTTGTTGATACCTGAATGTATGTGTGAATGTGTGTGTGATCTGTTACATCGCCGTGGTTTTAGAGCGACAATTGTTTCAAAAGAATCTGGAAGACTTCCTTCATGTCATGTTATCAAAATCGAGCAGACTAACACTCCACTACTACACGGCTCCTGATATGTGCAGCCAACTTTTCAACAGAGGTCTCTACAGTGGCAGACACTCAAACTGAATAGAACTTGGCCCTGTAACACTTCTGGATGTTTACTTAGGAGGTTGCTGTCAAATGCAGACTCAAGATCAGATGAAGTGGAGTGTTCAGCTGCGCCGCCAAGGATTCCACTGTCATCTGATCATGTATTCCAACACCTTCCAAACATCTCAGCAACAGCTGGATTAATAGGAAATCTGTAAAGATAGTCATAGTCACCGGAAGATAAAATCACCTGACTTTGCTGATCTCTTGACTTTTCCATGTTTGCCACCATGAGTTTACAATCTGTTGTTTTTGTCTCAATAACTATTGAATTGCCATGACGTTAATATAGACGACCATCTTTGGCAATGTGCTGACTCTTCCTCTAGCACCACTATAACATTTCTCCTGTTCTGTGACATATCTCAATATCTACCAGACGGATGGTACAAAATGTTGTACTGAGATTTGTATTTCCTACATGGTGATATATTTGCATGGTGTTGGTGGTTCTGAAACAGTCATTGAGATGTTTTGTTCTTCTGCGATATGTATTGCAGTATAAAATAAATACAACAGATGGCTTCAATTACTCTATTTAGAAAGAATTAATCATTCAAGAATGAGTCGGGAGATTTTTTTTTTTTTTAGGATCTGCATCGAAAATACAAACTAATTTTAAAAAAGCTGAGAAAAGACGTTTGGAATCTTTCTCATATGGTGTATCACTGGCAAAGGCGTCTAAATGATTGTATTTTTTTTGCTTTGGAAGGCATACAGATCTGGCTTTGGCACTCGTCATGCAGAGCTTTAAATGGTCAAACAGAATGGCTGTATCGCCTTGTTTAGTGCAAGACACTGCTGACAGACTACCTGTTTTTGGGCAGTGTATCCTTTCTGCTTTCTGAAATACTGCCATACTACTGACATTATGTTTTATGTGGAACCAAATCTTCTTTTCAGTCTTTTTTCTGGCTCCTCGCTTATTTTTCTGTGCACTTGTAAGGTGTGCATGTCAACTAACTCTGTGCCTGGTGAATGAAGTAAAAAATTTAAAAAATAAGCTCAGTATGCTGTAAATACTGTTGCTGCTATATCTGAGAACCCTTTATGTGGAGTTTCGTATGTAGATTTTTTTAGAACCGTTTGAGTTTTCCTTTCATACCAAGCAACAAAAAGCTGAGTTCATTTGGCTTGTTGGCTTGTTGCACATGCATGCATTGCTATGTTGAATCGATATGTCGTGCAGCCCCCAAGCACCACAATGGAGTTGACGATTTTTTATTTTTAATGAAAAGACTCGACAGCAGTTGGATTGATTTCCCTTAGCAGGCCTAACCTCTAAAGTAAGTATGGTAGTCATTATACAAGTGAATGTCATTGTGAGCGTGAGTTGTGTCTCACTACAGCCTCTTGTGGCTGCGAGCATGGCTGTAGACCCTTAGACTTGTTTCTCAGTGTGTTAGAAACATGAAAGGAGTCAGATCAGACAACCAAATCCACGAGGCTAACACCGTGTCTACACAGAAGGCTTAGCATGAGCTGCACGTTAGCAGAGTTGAAGCAGCAGCTACGGTGTCGACACAGGAGGCGTTCAGGCAAAGTGCGGAGTCCAATGCACAATTACTGTAGTTGCACATGTAAAGCGCAGGAATATAAACCTAATGATTTCAAATATGGTTTGGGTGATGTGTGCAAGTAAAACACAAGCATTTACACTGTCTACGCAGACAGCAGGATTGATTAAAATAGGAGTGTGTCTGTTCTGTCAGATGAGATGAATGACACCGCAAAAATAGCTTGTGTAGAAAAGGAGGTGGATAAAAAAAAACAAAAGTCTAATGGCCACTAGGGAGCAGCTGGGCAGGCAGGTGATGGTGTCAGCTAATGTGCAGGAGCATTAACCTCTGCAGTGGCCTTTAGTGTACATGTGAAGAAAAATGACAGGATTTTATGGTTTTCTGTGAGAAGTAGCAAAAACAGTGACTGAGCAAAACAAAACAACGGTACAGGAAGTGCAGACAGAGCTGATGTTCAGGCTAGTTTAAAAGAGATGATCAGAACGATTGGTTGAGGCTTAGAAGAAACCGCTATTATATAAAATAAGTTGTGTTACTCAGCTCAACAAGGTTCAACATTCATAAGAAACAGAGAATCCGGTCAGTAACAGTATAAGAATTATGATCAAAAAAAGCTCTTAAGACATCAACAATTCTGAAAGAAGAGGCTCCCCTTAATTTTGTGTGAGTAGGAGGTATTTCAAAATGGTTCATAATTCAGGCAATGAAGCTAATCTGCTGTTGCTCTCATTGTCAGTTGACCTGGATAAGATCCTCAGCTAAACGCCTAAAATATGAAATTTGAAATGTAATTAAACTACTTGAGTTGCAGGGATAGAAACAGCTGCAACCACTTTAGCCTATCAAGGGAAGAAGAGGGAAAAAAAGACTGTCTTGTCTTGTGTGGACTTGTTCTCTAAGCTGTGAAGCTACAAGCTAATGAGAGAATCTCTATTCATTCAGCAGGACAGTTTGTGTGTGTGAGTGTGTGTGAGAGCGTTGGTGAATGCATCATTTTCAAGTCAGGACACACATGCTGCAGTGCACCTCGGATAATACCCAACGCAGATACAGACTTGCCAACTTAATCCTACAGTTTTTCATACTCAGGGAAAATCTGTGCAGGCTACAGGTACAGGCTGCTTTGCTTTGTATCAGCATTACCATGCACACTGTCTCCTCCTGACTTAAACCCCCCCCCCCAAAAAAAAAAAACCAGAATAGATGGGTTCTTTTTCATGCGCTGGTATATTATTAAAATACAAGTTTTAACAT